TGGACCTGTCATTCCACTTTGCGGACGCCTAGAAGTCTGCCAACAATAACTTCAGAAGCATTTGAGGGGAGGAGGGGTTGGAAGAAGGATCAGGAGAGTAGATCAAGGAGGTGGCTTTACAAGAAGTTCGAAGGTACCTCCAGTATATGACTCTATAAATGACAGAATTGCCTAGATTTTAATCACCTTCAAAGAATGCTGGTGTGGCTTCCAAGGAAAGAACCTACAGCTTCCCTAGAGGATTTACAACTGTGGATTTAACAAGCAAACAAGGGTATTCCTTGCCCTACCTGGGTTTTTTTTCCCTCCTAGATGTGAATGGGTTTGTTTAAAAATATGCTAAAACTATTTTTTAAAAATGTACAAACTTCATCCACACAATCTATTCCCAATACTATACCCTCGTTTGCTTGCTTCCTTGCTTCTTTTCCATTTTTGGGATTTCCATACTTAAATTCCTATAGGCATAACAGGAACAAACAAACAAATCTTACACCCTAGTTTTGAAAACATAGCCACAAGATGTCCAGTAGCTGTTCCTGCTAATTTTCTTTGCTACACTGCATTCCGAACACACACATCCCTCTAAACTTTACTCCTCTGTACATTAGCTTTCATGGGAGTCTGTAGCACAAGAAATTGGGAAACTGGTCTATGTTGATATTTCAATGGCTAGTGGAATTTCCTGTGAAACTGTTTGCTTTGACTGTTAACCACATCCACACGACAATCCTGTTCCTTTAAGAAGAGGTTGATCTCACGGGATTTCTTGGCCTCTGTCTGAATTCCAAAAGGAGAAACACGTCACACAGGTAGGATTTTTTTTTAAAGTCTTGTTTGTTTTTTCCTGCTCCCGATGAAGCACTGTCTCAACATATTGCACAATGTTTTTGTTATAAAAAATGTCTTCTGCATCAGGCAGAAAGAGAGCAAAAACAGTTTCTGCAGAAGGTGCTAATGCATAGTGTCATCTGTCGTGAGAGGTACGTGGTTGTTTAAGTGACCATCTTGATGCGTGACCTAACAAAGGAAGACCAAAACAATTCATGTCACTAATTACTTGCTGTCCACCCAATCTTACTGTACACAAATATTTATGATTCAGTGGCAGAGTACAGTGAAGATCACAGGCTTAAACCCCCCCCCAGCTAGAAGTATCATCTCAGCAAGCAGGACGGAGGCAGCCTTTTCTGTGCCCTGGGAGACCAGAGACACAATGCTGGTCAAAGGAGATCCCTGGACTTCAACTTGTGGGTCAGGACCCTCAGGGTGGTCATGGAGCAGGGATGTAAGACTTTAAATGTTTAAATGATAAGGACTTGTTTACCATTAATATATTGTGGCAAACATTTTTCAAGTGTTGGAAAACCAGCAAAAGGTTTCCTGTGCATTCAAGTACCATCTGGGCCTGCAGAATGGGTCGTTTCCAATGCTGCCCTTACTGTTCACAGTCCACGCACAAGTCAAATATGAAAGGACAATTGTTAATGTTGTTAACAAAAATCAGTAGCGGATCTGATGATATGTCAGACTACATAAGATAAAAATTCAGATGGTTTAAACGGTTGTTCAATTAAACAAAACTGACATCCCTATCACAGAGCCCTGCCTGCCAGGTCACAAAACCCCTAACAGAACTGCCATTTTCTTTCTTTTTCTTTCTTTCTTTTGCTCCCTTTTGAGAAGGCCTGCTGCACAGTGAGTTAGGGCACCATGCTCCCTGCCTGTCTTTGTTGAGAAGAGCAGCAGGACTGTGAGGACATTCAGTGAAGGAGAAGATTCCTCCATGGTCCTAACCCCTTCACTTGTTCCTGACTAATAGAGATGTTCACTCAGTTATTTTCCAGTTCAAATATATACCTGAAAAATACCAGTAAGATATTTTTCAGAAATGTTTGGGTATCCAGACAATACTCGGGATTTTTCAAAATACTGAAAATCAGATCCCAAAATGTTCTGGAAATATTCAGGAATATCTGGGAGTATTTGCAGCCAACATTTTTAGTTTTCCCAGATTCCTTCAGTTTTACAATGTGTGTGTCTGTGTTACTGTTTTGCCAGGTCTGGCTGCATTGGTGCTGGCTTGACTGGTTGGTGGGACTTGGATTCTATGGTTGACATTTGTTCTGTTGGGCTTACAACAGTGTTCTCTTACGTTCATCTGGTTTGGATTGTCTAATTTAATATGGATTGTGTTGGACTTGCCACGTTGCTCCTGGGCTTAGCTGGCCTTCTAATGTTTGACATTGGTTCTGTTAGGCTTCCAAACAGTGTGCCTTGTTTAAGCTGGTTTAGCTTGGATTCCCTGATCTGGCACTAGCTGTGATGGGCTTGCCACATTAGCCAGTGGGTCTGCTGGGATTCTCTGGTTTTCCATTCGTTCTGTTGAGCTTGTTGGTTTGATTTATATTTGGTTGCTCTTCTGTGTTTTGCTATAAGATTATTTGCCCTGGAGAAAGCATGGAATTTTTTCCATGTAGAAAACCATGGAGACAAGTAGAATGGCTGGGGGCACCTTGTTCAGAGGCCTATAGAATTGGACCCCTTGATCCAGTCTGCTTGAAACTTCGGAGAGTCTTTAATGGACAGGCAGGACTAGGATTCCTATACATTTTGTGACATTTGTTTATAAAACAGCCATTCCAGCTCCCTACAGGGAATAACACATCCCCAAAGTTTCAGAATTCCAAAAAAAACCCCCAAATTCAAATTCTGAAATGGTATTGGGGGACATTAATAATTAGGAATGCCTGTATTTATACCTTTCTCAATGTCTGAAATATACCATTTTTTTCAATAGCACACCCCTGCTCACCACAGTACATCTTCTTGGGTCTGCTTTGTTTTCCCTGCACCTGTTTCTTTACGTTTCCTGCTCATGGTCCTGGCCATGATGCATGTGAGATCATAACTCTAACCCCAATCATGTCATCTTACACATGTCATGTGACTTCCTGTCACCTGCTTGCAGTTCAGTGGATTCAAGGTCCAGAGAGGTCTATGAAAGACCACTGGAGATTACAATACTGAGCTAATAATAGAGGACCAATAGCGAGACTCAGTATACACTTGATTCATATGTTCCATCTTCTGAGATGCATCAAGCTCCTAGTTGTCTATTAAGATGCATCATAACTGGTGTATATTTAGTTATGGAGATTTTGGCAAATAACATTTCAATCCAGACTCAACAAGAGCTTTGCAATCCGCTTCAGGGGATATGCAAACTGCACTGTAAGAATCAGTCATAAGTTTCTAGCCCTCACAGTATTGGAGGGAGAAGGAAAGCCAGAAACTTGAGTACAGTGGCTGGTGATGGTTGAGAACTCGAGGGGGACCAGACTGAACAGTGGTTTCACTGGTCATAATTGCTATCCTTCTATCTCCCTCCCAGGGCTACTACTACTGCCTGCCCTGTGGCCCTATTTTCTACTAACCTCATTTTTCTCTGAGCTTGTTTCTGCTTGTTCTGGCCAAAAATCCTGAGTTCATTTAAAAACTGGAATCTTCAAAGCAGAAGGATGCTAACTGACTAAGCATATGTAAAAGTAACTGAATCGTCTGATTTTCCTTCATGCATTTTGTTGTCAGACTGGGTTCACACTATTTAAGGACGCTGTGGACCGTGTTCCTTCTGAGATGGATTTTAACAGACAAGGAGCAACCCACATGACTCATGATCGTCTTCTCACCAGTGGAAACAGGGGTGGGACAATTTCACCGATTTCCTCCTTCTCACTGCAGACTCCACTGACTAAGGGGGCACAATTTCAGGGTTCACAGCAAGCTGCAGAGGGAGGGAGGAGGCAGGAAATTCTGCTTCGGTAAGTGCCCTTCCACTAACACTGTATAAGATCCACCCCATTATCTTTCAACATGAATGGACATTACACAGAATACACTTACAGATGTAGATTTAGAAGAGCCTAATTTGAAACGGCAGCAGACAATTTCCACAATGAATCTTCCAATGCCATGTAAAATTCCTGCAATGTGAGAACAGGTTGATTGTTTTTTGTGGGTTTTTTCTTAAAAAAAACCTTCCCAGTTCAAAAAATTGAGATAATATTACATATTTGTTCTTGACACAGTTTTGGAATCACAAGGTGGAGATCCTTTTCACACATTATATAGAGGTCAGCCACACAGTATACACTCAACAGGGAACTAAAACCTGCCACAGTTTCCCAATGAATATACTTAAATTTATTTATTGAAGAGATTTTTAGCCTGCCCTTCTCCATGAAGAACTCAAGGTGACCAACAATGATAGCTAGAAACAAACTACAAACTCACATCAATTTAAAAACAAATTACAAACCAGTCACTGTTAGAATAGACAACAAATCTAACTAAATGTCTGGCAATACACATGTGCCATATTCACACTCTATACTTTCAAGTGTATGCTTAACACATTTGGTTGTACATCTTAAAAAAAACACCAAGAGTGTCAAGTGGCCTTTAGAAAGCATGAAGGTTCTCATGCTTTTCCATGGTCAAAGACGATTTTCCTGTACCCTATTAGATGATAACCACAACTGCAGGAAATAAAAACACATTTGGTGGCTAACCCAAATAAAACCTAAAGGTCTGTGTGTGATAGCTCATTTTGTGTCGATGTCTTCCTTAGCAGAGATCTCTTTTGTTTGAGCTGTGGTAGACAAGGAGATCAAAGAGCAAAACGGGGAAGAGGGCCATCACACTGGACCCTTAGTACACTTTAAACGAGGCAAAAGAGCGTCTGTCCTTTGTGTGCTCAAAAACAGTGCATCCACACAAGTGGAAGCGAGCCTATCAGCAAAGAGCTGCACCAGGACCCATGAACCCCCGCTTATTAAGTAATGCATTAAAATCACTACGTCATGGCCACAGAGCCCTGCTGCCCAAGCCTCTCATTTTTATACAGTACCATCAATGTGCATGGCAATGAAAGATGGATTGCTGCTCCAATGAGATTACAGTATTGGGGTTCAACAAAGACACCGACCAAGGGAGAGGCATGAGTGACAAGGGCTATGAATGATCAGTGAGTGCAATTTCACCTGAAGCACCAAAACATCTCACAGATGCCATAGGCATCCTTGGGGATGACAGCGAAGGTTCTGTTTATTCTTAGTTAATTCTTAGTTGCTTTGGCTTGACTAAAAAAATACACGGGATATAAGCTGATCACTGATGACTCTGTTAAGAGCCTGGGGGTTACACTGGATCCAAGATTACCACTGGAGAAGAAAGCTAATGCAGCTTTTCCAACTTTGTTTAGCCAGGAAGATGGCACTCAACCTTGGCTTGGCCAATCTGGCCACCCGGATCCATGGCTTGGTAACATCAAGATGAGAGTCTATTGTAATGCACTCTACATGGGTCTGCCCCTGAAATCAGCTTGGAGTCCAGCCTGAAGAGTTCAGGAAGGCTCCCACAATACTACCATTCCACAAACTATGTAGAACAGAATTGTTCAGGATGGCCTTTTTATAAAGGTAACAGGGCTATAATAGAATGGTTTGGGAAGGTGCTTTAAAAAGGAAATGGGACTGTGGGGACTAGTATTTATTATCCTAGTGTTGATACTTTAATACTTTTGTTTAACTTATCATGTCTAATACTTTATGATTTGTTTCAGATTTCCATAATCCTAGTGCTACCACATTGCTTATTAGATGTCTCATCCTGTTGACTGCATTGATTTACACAATCTGCCTTGAGTCTCAATAACTAAGGCGGACTATAAATATAAATTGTCTATTTAAATGACAAATTTTAAGTTCCTTACTTATTAGATGTTTGTCACCCATAGAACTACAGCACAAACAGACACATAAACAACCACCTCTGTCTTTCTTTAGTATGTAACTTGTTTTGCTTGCATTTTCCTGTTGCTATGGCACTTGCTTTTGGCAGTATCGCCTAATCTATTACCTGTAGTAGAGAAGATTCCTCCAACGATACCACAAAGTCTCACCAAGAACTGCCAGAAGGGCATGTGCTCTTCTGTGACTGTCACCATCAGGGAACTTATGTCGTATTTCATGAAGATTCCCGACACCCCATGGCTGCCAGCTGCGTGGTTGATCACCCTTTCCTGGAGAGCAACACAACAGGGAGGACAGATAAATCAGACGCAAACTTGTGGCATGGGATCAAACACAAGAAAAGGGAAGGGCTTCAAAATGGAAAATCCCATCTCCTTAGGAAAGATTAAAGAGAAGGTAGAATGCATTACTTGTGACAAACATCTATACGTAATATCTGTTTATGAAAAGTTGACATACTTTTTGGAATAGAATATTCCACCAAAGTGTACCTGAGGTATTTTTTAGCAATCAATCGATTAATCTTTATTGCATTAGCCAAAAAAGCCATAGCAACAATATAAAGTAAAATGCAAGAGGCCAAGAATGTAAAATTTGAAAAATAAAATAATAAAAAATATTCCACCAAAGTGTACCTGAGGTATTTTTTAGCAATCAATCGATTAATCTTTATTGCATTAGCCAAAAAAGCCATAGCAACAATATAAAGTAAAATGCAAGAGGCCAAGAATATAAAATTTGAAAAATAATAAAATAATAAAAATTGGACATTTTTACAAAAAGTATTAAAATACAAAGTCATCATTAAAAAATAATAAGAAGAAAGGAAGACCATACAGTCCAGAGACAAATTACAAATAACAAGAGACCTTAAAACCACAATAGAGGGAGGAGCGTACAATGATCACGATGCCATCTTGGACCCTCCCCTTGTTTTTTAGCTTTGCTTTTTATCATGTGATTTATCATAGAGTCACTTTAAATGTTTATCTTGTGGGTCTGCCCAATTTTGGTAGGGGTTATCTAGGTAAATAATTCCCTATGTGTGACATTTTAAACAGTGAATGTGATCTCTGCTTGCCCTTCAATGCGATGGAATGTGTGGAAGGACTGGGACCCACATGGGTTTAAGGATGTCTGTTCTTGACCCTACTAGGGCTTCTACTGGAGTGGAGAGTTGGCCTCGTGGGATAACAGAACTAATGGCAGCATACTGCCCTACTGCTCTCTGTTCCCTGTCTTTATGGTTGTACGGACCTCCTTAAATCAGTTGAGGAGAAAGGGAAATGCTGAACAGTTCAACCTTCCACTGGCACAACTTCAGTAGGAACATCCAGAAACGTCTAAAGACATTCCAGAAAAGAGGAAATGGGACGAGATCATGACTGACAGGAGGGAAGGGAACAAAGCCATACAGGCCTATGGAAAAAGAACAACACAAAAAATATCCACATGGAAATGATACACATAGGGGTTCTAAGCACAGGATAGGTGAATGTAAATATGGAAACATACAGTCTTGGCTCTATACATGATTTTCTCTCTATCCTTCTCTTTTCTTCTGGTTTGTAATGCAAAATGTAGAATAAAAATTGGGGGTGGGGTGGGAAAAGTAAGTAAATAAGTGCTACCATCCATCCTCAGGTTGTCCTTCACCACGGCCTTACCCTTTCTGTCACTGAAAACTGATGAGTTTCTGCTGAAATTTTAGATGTATGGAGTTTTGTTGGCACAACTGTGATAAAGTACTGGAACATCTGGTTGTCTGAAGGCAAAAGAAAAAGTCAGCCATTAAATCAAGGTTCAGCATCAAGAGGCAGACCAACAGTAATTTGTTGGTTTGGCACATCTGATGTTTTCAAAATCATAAACGCTCCTGGGAAGAAAAACGCAAAAAATGAAATAATTTCCTTGAAGCCGATAAATGAGCCAAACAACCTTACTTACATAAACTACAACTGATCAGACCTTCATTCTGCACTCAGAGCAGAGTGTGTCCAAGGTCCACGGCCTTTTGAACTTTGCAGATTGAGAGGAACGTAAGCAGCTGCCAAGGCCCAGTCTTTTGGTGGCTTCACTGCATTGTATATTTAACAAAACCCTTGAGAACTGCAGGGTTTACAGCAAGAAGGGAACTGTTAGGAGGAACATCTCTGCCAGCTCAATCCTCCTGGCTGAGTGTTTGCTTTCCCCTTCCTGTTGCAGGTATAAAACCCAGGCACGGCCAAAAGCAAGATGAACAGCAAGAGCCAAAGGACTCGGACTCTTGGGCCATGGCTCACAACCCAGGTCAAGAAGTGGGCTCACTATTTGGGTTGACTGGCTGATTTATATTTTTATATATATAAAGTACACACACACAAAGCCACTTGGGGAGAAAAAGCAAAGTACACATATTTTAATAGGGTCCGCTTGTTTTTTAGTGGCTTGTTCTAGTGACTTTATAGGAGCTGCGGTGGCTCAAGTGGTTAAGACGCTGAACTGCAGGCTGTGGAAGGTCAGTAGTTCAGCAGTTCGAGACCCGGGTGCCGCATGACGGAGTGAGCTCCCATCTCTAGTTCCAGCTCCTGCCAACCTAGCAGTTCGAAAGCAAGACATTGCAAGTAGATAAATAGGTACCACTTCGGTGGGAAGGTAACAGCATTCCATGCGCCTTGGTGTTTAGTCAAGCCGGCCACATGACCACGGAAACGTCTTCGGACAGCGCTGGCTCTTCGGCTTTGAAACGGAGATGAGCCCCGCAACCCTAGAGTCGGACTCGACTGGCTTTCGAGCAAGGGAACCTTTACCTTTTACCTTTCTAGTGACTTTGTTTTTCATGGTTCTGTTTTACAGTCTTAGTTGCAACCTGCCTCGAGCTGGTCTCTGGAGAGGTGGCAGGTACAATAAATAAATACATAATATTAATGACTACCTGTCTGAATCAGTCCGATCTTAGCTCTCCATGAAACGGCAGATAATACAACTTGTTCTGGAGCCCTGACTAAGACATCAGAGCTGCTAACAGAACACACTGGAAGTGACAGCATGTGTGTGCAGAGCACGGCTCAGGAGTTTTGGTTAGAGGTGCCTATATAAGAGTTCAAGTGGAAGGGTAGTCAGGAAACATCTGTGAAGCCGAATGCTTGCCCTGAGAGGTGGAGAATGCAGCCAGGCAGCTCCTGATGGCTTCTCCTTCAACACCATGTGGCTAGAAAGCAATGAAAAAGGAGGAGGAACTCCAAAGACCTCCAAGGAGCATCCCTGGGGATGACAGCCAGAGTGATGCGGTGGGCCCAGAGATGTGAGGAAATGTTCCCTGGTTGGCACACAAGACCACGGGAGGCCAGTAGGGAGATAAGCACACCCTCTTTTGATGGGGCAGGGTGCCCTGTGCACCTGGTGGATTTCCTGTCCAAAGCTGGGCTTTGCCCTTGGGCCTGGGGGAGGGGGCACATCGCAGATCAGTGGTGGGGTAGGGAACGAAGAAAACCTTCTGCAAAAACTAAACAGCTTTACATGGAGATGTTCATAACACACTTGGAAAAATACATACACACTCCATGCTGGAATAATACATTCCCGCTGTATGATAAAGGTGAACAAGACATCACACTTGCTCCTCCTCTCTAGTGTGAAGTAGAATCACTGAGTCACAGATTTGGAAGGGGTCATACAGACCATCTAGTCCAACCCCCTGCTCACTGCAGGATTAGCCTAGAGCATCCCTGACAAAGTACTTACGATCTGATGCAATCTTTTCTGTACCATCTAAAGGATTAATAATCCCTGGGATGAGCTCTCCAAAAGACAAATGATCTATCCTATGGGAGAAGTTGTATGCTGAAATACAAAATGTTGAAAAAGCCACAGAATTAAAGCTGAAACATCAGGATATCTATAGTTCCAACACAATTAATGGGCATATACCAAAAGTTGTACACTGCAATCCTAAACAAAATCAGACCGTTCTAAACCCACTGACTTCAATAAACTTAGAAGGGTATAACTCTCTTTAGGTTTGCACTGGTATTCTCCTAAACCATGAGTTTTAATAGTTCATTTCAAGACAGCAAGATTTCTATTATTATCCATACTTTTTAAGAAGTTCAGAAATGTGTGCAGTCTCCCAAGATGGAAGAGAGGAGGAAACAGTTGAAAATGTTGGGTTATGTTCTCACAAAGGTCTATTCCTCTTCTTTGGTGTTTGGTGTGGTGGTTAAGTGCGCGGACTTTAATCTGGGAGAACCGGGTTTGATTCCCCACTCCTCCACCTGCAGCTGCTGGATGACCCTGGGCAAGCCATAGTTCTGTCAGAGCTGTCCTTGAGATAGCAGTTCTCTCAGAGGGGGGGGAGGGGAAGAAGTTTGTAAGCCACTCTAAGACTCTGAGTGAAGGGCAGGGTATAAATCCAATCTCTTCTCTTCTTCTTCAACATTTGAATAATTGGATAAAACTGCACTATCATGTTTCATAATACTATATGGCACAGTTCAGACCTAAAACTAAAAACAAGGATTAGGAAATAGGTCTCTGTAGCCCTGATGTATGATATAGGCCCTTTTGTGATAAGGTAATGATAAGAAACAGGGCATTTTCTGTGGTAATAAAGAATACAGTTCCCTCAGTAATTTACCTGATGCCCAGCCTCTTAAATTGTAGGTACCAGGAAAAACCTTTAATTCACAAAAACATTTTGTTGCTTATATAGCTTGGTAATTGCCTCTTGTTCTTGTTGATTTAAATGGTTTTACTAATTGCGACTAAATTGCCTTAGTTAACATTATGTACTGCTTGCTGAATTATTCAAATGTGGTTTTATGCTGATGCTGCTTCTAACATTGGTTTCACTGGTATTTATTGATTTTATTGGTTTCCATGTATGTGTGTGTGTCTATTTACATCTTTGTATTCTTGTATGCTGCTGTAACAGACAGCAAATGGTTACTGCTTTAACCCAGTCTGAGAACTTTGAGTGAGAAGGGATTCAAATGGCATTCTACAGTTCAGAGTGTCAGTTAATAGTAGCAGTTAAGAATGACAGTTCTGAGTGGAGTGAGAAGGAGAGATAAGCTGAGTGAGAGGATCAAAGAGGATTCTTCATTAGGGAAGTGGGACAAGTACCCTTTCCTGAGAGAAATACCTCCTAGTGGAGGAGGTATGTGATCTCTATTAAGTGGCTAAGAAGGAAAATTGGAACTTGTATAAATGTTCCTGCCCTCACAAACTTAAGTATTTTTGAGACAAAGACAGTTATGCTTGTTTATTTAAGCAGTGACTGCCAAGAGATCTCTCTCCAGAGTTTAAAAGACCTGCCTGTATAACCAAATATCTACATAATTTTGACAAACTATCTGTTGTTTATATTTATGCCAAGTTATCTCATTCCTGTTGCCTGTTCACCCTCTAAGTCCCAAACCTGATACCTACCTGACCATTTCCCCTCAAAAGTGAAATAAAGCAATTTGTTAGTTTTGAATTCCATCAACCTCTGGTGTGCCATTATCAGACAAAGACTAAAGAAGGGTTTTAGTTGGTCCCTCAGTTCTCTAGGCTGGGTCAGCATATATCTATGTATGATTAAACAACCTGGTGGGACAGACAGTGAAACAAAGAACAAGAAATGGGACTGCCTAGCCAAAAAAATTGAAAAAGGGAATTTGGGAAGCAGGGAAACATTATAGCTGCTTAGGACATTTTTAAGAGAAATGGCTAACACACACTGTAAATAAAAAAATTCGAGCTTTCCCCCACTTTTTCTCCAGTCCCATTCTCCACAATTTCAGTGTCATACATCACTGGTGTCAAAATGGGTTTAGGAGCGTTTAGGAGCACAATAGTGTCATTTTGAGCACAACAGTGTCGTAATACCAAAGCTGAACAGAGAGGGTCAGACAAAAGGCACAGGGGAAGGTGCATATGATCCCACCACTTGACCCCCAAAAAACTGACTTTGGTTGTAGGTCTCGATCAGGCCTTTGCATGTGAAAAACTATACAGTATTCTTTTTGCCTGCAACATTGCAGAACACTTCAACAATGTGCAACATTTCTGACTACTATTAATAATCCTGGAAGAGCTCATTGCTAACAATGTCTCTTTGCAAGATAACAAAGAAGGCTTACACTCATGGCTCACAAGGGCTGCCAAATGTGCATGGCCTCTCGGATGGGGAATTGCCCTGAGGAGAAGAAAGAGAGAACAGAGTTTTAGAACCAAAGAATGCTATGAAACAGACTGTTTACAAACTTTTCAGAGCAGGAAACCAGTTTCAAGACAACACTTCTTTACAACACTTTCTCTCTTTTAAAAATGTATACAGCAGTGCATCAGAGGAACAAAGCAATTCAGCTCCTCAACACAGATAAGTTGCTGTTCAGACAATGTCAGGGCCTTGTCTAATAGCCATACTGCAAGCCAAAAGTGCTCTGTGACTTCACTCATTAAACTCAGCAGAACCATTTTAAAGAGGCTCCATGCTGGTTAGTGCACATGGCTTGCTATACAGCAGGCTTTGCAGTGGATACTCTTCTTGGAAAGCAGCAAAAGAATGGGGGGGGGGGAAGGGATACAGGACTTAAGATGCAGCAGCCCAAGGAAGAGATGTGGCTTACAGCCCACCACCACATCAAATAAATGGGTAACTTTCACGTTACTTCAGTGTAAGTTTATAAAACTTAAGAACCCAATAGCAGGAAGTGTAAAAAAGTCAAGGAATTCAGCTGCAGAGGCAGAAAAGATAACGATTTTTTTTATTTTGGTCTTCATGGGGGGGGGGAATCCCTGATTACATTAAAAAAATACAAAACATGGTTATGAAACAGGCAGAACAAGTAATGGGTTGATGGGGATAAAACAAAACAAATTGGACAGGAGAGAAAAGCAGCTCCGATTTGGAGAGACCAATGAGAGATAGGCCGGTAGGGACAAAGGTTTCTAAGACAGCTTTTAAAAAAAAAAATGGTTATGTTCTCAGAAAGGATACAAAACAAGAAGAAAAGAGAAGATGCAAAACAAGAACAGGGACTGAGAACAAGGCAAGGATGTTCCTCTTATATCTCAGCCAGAACAGAAGTATGTTAGCATGATCCAAGACCATTCATGTCTACCGTGCTGTCACATCTCAGAGTCTGATACACCCTGGAAAGCCCTAACCCTGGGGGAGAAAGGAGAGGAGCTGCTCTGGCTCACCCCAGAGACTCCTGACCCCGGGGGAGAAGGGAGAAGAGCTGGGGTCTGGCACATCCCGGAGAGCCCAGACCCTGGGAGAGAAGGGGGAGATCAGTGGTGCAGTCCTGCAGGAGGCAGCGATACAGCTGCAGGAGAGAGGGAAGAGCAAGGCCGGCCTGCAAAGGAAGCTAAGGATCAGATATGGGGGCTGACAGCCAGCACTAGTTCCCTGTGGAGTAAAGGCCTCCTTGGGGGAAAGCATCTCCTCAGGAGTAAGCCAAGGGAGGCAGGGACTGGGAATGGCCAGGAGAAGGGGGATGAAAGGCCCTAGGAGGATGCAGTGGTGGAAGCAGTAGCGGAATGACAGACAGGAAGCTGGGAAGGAGAATAACCAGCAAGGGCCTGTGGTCCCTGTGGTTGGGCGAAATTACAGCCTCACTGAGACCTGGGAGGCAGATATTCCTGCGGCTGGGAGAAACGACAGCCTCACTGAGGAATACAGCAGGTAGCACCCCCTAGGACATTCATGGGCCAGCCACCTCAAAGCTTCCTTTGCCAGCATTCTCTGCATTCTCTGCGCAGCAAAAAGAAAAAAATCTGGTATAACAGAAATACATTGTACTGTTGGTGGGTGCAGTTAAAAGGCACACGGAAGACATGAACCTTTCACTGCTGCCAGTCTAGTTAAA